ATATATATATATATATATATTTATTTATTCATTTATTTTATATATATATATAATTTAATATATACAACACGCAGTAATTTCGATCGTCTTCGCCCGACCAGTTCCTTCAGCAGGATTACTCCCTTTTCATTCTTCTTCTTCTTCTTTTTTCTTTTTCTTTTTTACTTTCTATCTCTTTAGCGAGCATTTAATTTTTCCTATAACACATATCGAGGAGAACTCGTTGGACAAGACGATCATTCTTTGTAAGTGAAAACACGATCGCACGCATATGGAAATAATGAAGGAGTGTATGTGCAGAATTCGGAAATGTTTCGTCAACGGGTGACGGATACCGGGCTCGATAGTCGCTTCAATTTTTCATCCTCCCTTCCCTTTCTTTCTTTCTTTCTTTCATTCATCGTTCCCCATTACTTTTACCTTAATAACTCGTCTGTACGACCGCCGTGGACACCTACGTTCGTAAACATTGTTTTCTGTGAGTGTCGTGTATCGTGTGAGTCTGTGCATACGTCTAATTACGAGTGTACAATCATCAGTTTTTCTCATTCAATGATAATAACCGAGCTAAGCAAACATTTATTCATACAAAAGTACAAACAACACTTATTGTCGACGGGAATGATAATGAAATCGCGAGACGTCGCTACGTCGAAATTCATCTGTATATGCCGTCTTACGGATTGATCACCCCCAGCCGTGTCTCGTGATTCTCAGTTTTTTCTTTTCTCATTAACGACAAACGACGCAACCTTCGAACGAACAGATAACGCATCGTTCGCGCGCACTCTCATGATCGATAATTAATTCACGCGACTCGTTTGCTACAAGAATAGGATACTCGTAACGTTATTTTCCTCGCCAGTTAACGGCTCTTCCGCGATGAATATTCCGTCGCGGCCTGTCGACGAATACGATTTTCCCTTTTTTTGCGAGTCCTTCTCGGACAGACGCAAAGGTGTAAAGCTATTAAATTATCCAGCCTGCTAACGGCGTATCTGTCTGTCGCTTGTCGCGTGAAAGAAAAAAGGATTATCGACCGTGAGAGTCGGTTGGCGATGCGAGAACCGGCGTCGGAACGACTGCGTTAGAAAAAGGAAAAATCGGCGACTTCGGGTCCCTTGTGATCTCGTTAAAGCGTAACGCTTGCAGACGCTGTTTCCGCCGTGAACGAAGGGGAATGACAAGGCCTGGCTTCGCTTCGAGGAGACTGCGATATTAATGAACTTTTATCGAACATTTTCATCGATTAAGCGATTCGTACGAAGAGCTCGGTATCAAAAAGTCGTAATTTCTCAACCAGAAATCAAATGTCGTTTGGTCTCAGGTCTTCAATGAAGTCGTAATATGAGTGCGTACCATTTACAAAAGTTCTTGTTATAAAACTGTATCTAGTAGAAAATTTCGATAGTCGATAAATGCTTCCAGCTTTCTCGCAACCTCTCAAGGTACGAAGATACACTGTGGATGGACGTAGTTGCTAAAGTGAAAATGCTTCACCACTGTACTGCGTTAACTCTTCATTTCTGTGTTTTTAAAAATCTTATTTGTGTATATTTCGATCTTTCTATATTATTTCACGAATGTCTGAAATATAGCAGTCACTAAAAAAACTAGTGCTTTCTAAAGTGAAAGCATGTTGTAAAAATCTCGCTTGAAATTTAAAACTCTTTTAAATGAAAGAATCGTGGCTTTAAATAGGTACTTCCTAAAACGTGACACATCAGAGGATTAAAAGACTATTATTATTATAATTTGATTAGTCGTTGGATTTTAAATTGAGCGTGTATAGTGATTGACACCGCGTAGAAAAAATAGCCGTATAACGAGCCAGTGCCCGTGTTGAAAAGATTGGAATATAAAAGTAGAATACGTACTCCTCGTATTCGGATCACTAGTTCATTTGAAATCGTATAAATAATACTGTCCTTTTCTGGCAAAAACCGTTCAAATCATAAAACGATTACGTGTGTGTGCGTGTACGTGTGAGTGTCCGGATAAAAGGATAGGCTGCGAATGAAAACTACGTCGTGGAATGTGTTCGTTTTGTCTTCGAACGTGGTAACGGCGTGATATTATATACTCGTTTGCGTGTGCACGTAAAAATGATTTCTCACAGAAACATTCAACCGATGCGACGAGCTGAAAGAGCCAAGGCATCTAAAGGTTTCTAAAAAAAATACGTCAGTCAATTCGGCGTGTTTCAAAGGGGAAACACGGTTTCATTTATGTATACACTCGTTTGTTACCGTGTAGCGCGTTCAATTCATTAAAAATATTGTTGGAAGTTCAGTTTTCGAAAAAGTTCACAGCGAAATAGAGGAACAGAAAGGTAAACGGTGAATTATAAAACCGTGAGAATTTCTGTTTACAGTGCATACGCAATTCATCGTACAATATTTTTTTGTTTTATGATTTTTCCCCCATGTGTTTTTTCTCAACGTTCGTGGGTCTTTTAGAAAAAATTCGATACTACAAAATTTGATTTGTTCACGCTAGCGTATATGAGACTCTTTTGTTTTTCAATCGCCACGAAAAACGGTGCGTCTCCGCGTTTCGTACCGCTTAATTAGATCTGTTAGTAATAACTGCTAGACGTTGGGTACAACGCGAGGCGGTAATCGTAGCGGTAGTCTCTGTCTCGATCGGCATTCTCTCTCGCAGGAAACTCGATTACATGGATTCACCTAGAGTAGAACGGTACAATTTGAGAACAGCTCGCAAACGCGCATTACCTAACAACGATACATTAGCGATATTCCGACCCAATAATTTATCGAGGACGTCATCATGTTTGTTTAATAAGTCCTAAGATTCCATTATTTTTTCTCCCATTGGGAAATCTATGTTTGTTAAAAGAGAGAGATATCCTCGAGAAGTTATGGGTCGCATGACGGTGTATGAATATCTTGATCCAAGCGAAGTTTCTTCGATTTGATACATCCGTGAGAAGAAAGAAAAGGTGGTGAGACCGCCGACTGGACGACGGTGGGTCGCGTCGAAACCCTATTTACAGAAGTTACACGGCGATCAGGGAGAACGAGTGTCTCGCTTTTGCGATTACACACGCGTCGAGGCATCGAGGGATCGTTTCGGACCGTCGGCGAGCGGAGAATCTTCTTTTATAAAACGCGCAGGTTCGTGCACGGTTCTGTCTCTTCGGCTACGAATAACCGCCATCGAAGGGGCCAAAGTAAGCATAAAAAAGCGGATCAGATCTAACGCGAGATTCTTCTTACATGTAATTTATCACTTGAATCGAGTTCGTTGGGAGAATCTGACACACACGTGTGTCACGTTGAATAAATACGTTATAATTGGGTGAAAAAAAAGTTAAAATGAGATTGCTGTGGCGAGATACAGGGGAGAACACGTGAACGAGAGGAGACACGACACGTGCACCTCGCTGTCACTGATTTTAGATCCTTTGCACCTCCGGTACATGCGTCGGGAATTCATTGAGTGATAAAAACAGGTAATGGTAAGATAACGATACGATCGTTTCTGTAATTATCGGCTTTAAGAATATATATAGAGAACCTTTGACGTACGACCACGATGACCTCGAGTTGGATCGGATGGTGTTAATAAAGGATCCAACTCCGTGGAATAAACCGATATCAATCGGTTATTAAATCCGCTAGATCATATATTATCGTACCGTCCTAATAGTTGTTTTCATAAAACGGCGATTAGATATTCAGCCAAGAATAGTCATTACCAATCTGTAACTATTTTTTCCCCTCTTCCAAATAATTAACATTTTAAGTATAATAATTGAGGGATTGAATCATCGAGAGATATTCATTTCGATCCGACGCATCGAATACAAGACAAAATAATCGAAACATGTCGTTTCGCATGATTAAGGATCGGTGCAAAGGGCTTATGAATCGAATCAAGGGGTGACAGTTTATAATCGCGGTTGAAGGAGTCAGCGATCGTCGATCGTTTTTTTATACAGGCGTGTCCGTTTTCTCGTCCTTCTTGGGCTCCTTCATGTCCGTATTCCCGTTGATGTATTCCGTGCTCGCGTGTATCGGATTCTCCTGGCCACCCTGCGGTATTTTCTCGTCGATGATGTGCGGGTCCTCGTGATCCTCCTCGTCCTCGTCCCCGGGAGTGATGTGCGCCTCGCTTCCGGCACCGACACCGCTCGCAGCTTCCTCGTCGCCTCGACGCCTCGCTGCAACAAGCAACGCCACGATCGGTCAAGGCAAAAGTGCGTGTGTGGATTTTTACTTGCTCGTCCCGTTCTCGTTTTACTTTTACAGCAAGATTTTTTTATTCGTTTTACTCGACTCCGTTTTTCGCTCGAACCGACAGTCGATAGTCCGTGACGTCTGTTTCGTTACGCGTGCTATGAAATCGAGTCTCGTGCAAAGGATGTCTAAAAAATTTTCGCAAACGCGCGAGTTGCACGCTGGATTTCACGAATTATCAGGAAAATAATTGTTTTATACATTCAACTTTATAATCGGAGAATTATGTCCTTTTAAGGATTTGGTGAAACATAATCCGAGGTACGCATCTTCAGTGCAGATGATAACAATTTCATATCTAATAATTTACTAATACCAGTGCATCGAAATTATTCAGACTCCGAATTGAAGGTAGAGATCGAACGGCGGGATAATCGGATAGTCTCTCGCGTCGCTCGGGCGTTTGCGTTCGAGCGTAAATTATTAATCGATCGTTATGCAGCGGTTAATAGTTATAAACATTCACAGGCAGTTCATCGCACTAATATTCCAATCCAAGCAAAAGGTAAATGTGACTAAACGTGATCGTGACAAACTCTGAACGGGTAATCATCTAATTATCAGCTAACGTAACACAACACATCGAGAATCGTAAAACAGGTTTAAAGGGGGGGGGGGGGGGGGCGCAAAGTGGGTTTCAAAAGGATGTTGTTACGAGCATGCTTGTAGAGTAATCTAGGGACAGATCGCTATTTAATTACTGTTCTAACGGCGAGAGAAGATAGTCACGATGGAAAAGCGAATTCGGATAGAAAGAAAATTAATATTGATAGGGGAGGTTTGGTTTGACTCCGAACGAATGTCACCACACTTGCCTTCGCCGATTGTTCGTCGTTGCTTGTCGCAAAAGAAACTCGCCCTCATTCACTCGGCCCCGCGAGCCGTGAATTTAAAGGAATCTCGCAAGGGACTTGTCGAGCGTTCACAGCGTGTCGCAATAGACAATTGTGCCCAGAGTCAGCGTTTTTCACACGCGGGATTCCCCTTGCCAGCCGTTATTCAATCGCAAACGAATGTTTCTCCCGCTTATAGGTCCCCGTGCGAACTAAATTTCGTCTTTAAACGTAACCGCTAAAAGAATTCGTTTCCATTCCGTTGTAGATTGGAAGAGAGGAGAATTTCGAAGATGTTGCGAGAAATTAATAGTGAACGTTCAAATTAGGCGTCGTTATTAGTCATGCTGTGTAATTCGTAAGCACGACGTGCATGCACGAATGATTGCGTAAAACATGTATGTTCGTGGCTGATAAAGGAGAAATGCCGTTAAGTGGTCGATTGGATATACTGCTAGAAAGATTTTATTTTCGATAGAAATATATTCGTACGTTGAACCGAGAGTCGATAAACGTATCGTTCGGAACAATAAAATTTTGATTTGTCACGCGAGCCTCGATTGTAGGCCAATAGTCCTGATATGAATTATCGAACTTCAACCGCGTTTTTTCTGCACCGACAGCGTGTTCAAAATCGTTTCTTTTTTTACCCGAGAGACTTCCGTCGACTATTAAAAAAATGGATAGCAAGAGAGAATTACGAGAATGCTGTCGAGATTTATTCCACTCCAAAAGGACTTTATAAATTCAGTGCCATTTTCCTTTTTTATTCAACAGCTAATCCGATTTGATAATTCAACGTAAAACATTATTAAAGACTTCAATGTATTTCGCTGGCTCATTGAAAGCCTGATTGTATGTGACGTAGATTCGACACGTTCATAAATCTATTTAATTCATAATTCACCTTCTATGGATTCACTTCTGTTGTTTAAAATACAGGTTGAAATCTGGTAAGTTCGCTTTCTCAACATTTGAGACCAGATTCGACGACAGTAACAATAACAACAACAATAAGGTAAAAATGTCAAGGGATTGATTAATAAATGGTCTTGCGTAGATGGAGAGAAGTGGCGAGCAGACGAGCTGATGATGAACGAAGAACGAACATTAACAATTTTACTAAGGGGATTCGCTGTTTTGCTGCCTGAGGTGACTTACCCCTGGACAGTGTCATGCCTAGAGTACGGAATCGCAAGGTAATTGTTGCTGTATCTCCTTATTCTTTACTTGGCCCGACTTGCATGCTGTCCTATCGGTAGCGGCACAACACACAAGACATTTGTATACATACAAATATAGAGATGTAAAACAATAGACATTTATACTCTCATAGTGGCGTGTAAATTGTGGCTACGCACGCGCACATTATTATCGGAAATTATTTGAAATTGATATAATTGTTCTTTGAACTTTCCAACGAGTTTCTATAAATCGTCCCTTTATCAATTTTTCACATGTATCATCTCAATTCAATACCAGCAAGAAAAATTTAATATACAGCTTAACGAAATTGATAAGTAACACTACTACATTGATTATAATTAAAATTAATATCCTACCTAATATAATATAAAAAAAGACAAAAATAAAATAAAAAATACTTTCATCGAAGTGATTAATTCCTCTAAATTTTCTCATAACTGTTTCAGTTACTTATACATCGTTCATAGAATTTTTTATTATTCATATTATGGGGTAGAAGTAACAAAAGTACACGAAAGATCGCCAGAAGGGATGGGAAAACGAGTGGTTCGGAAAAAATCGTATAATTATTAGAAAACTGGGTACATACCTGCGAAGCACCAGCGTCCGGTCGCGCGGGCAAAAATTATTATGAAAACGATGAGAATTAGCACCAAGGCTCCAACGACGATGCCGATAATCGAACCAGCATCTAAGTCAACGCCTGAAATTTTTTACAAAATTCGCATTGAGATTTGCTGTATAATTCTTTCTTAATTAATATAAAAATCTTAATCTAATCTAGAAACATTATCAGCTGTGTTTCGTTTCACTTCGAACAATAATTTCTTCAAATTTTGTCGTTTGAATTTTATCTTGATTTTAGAATGTGTAACTGTACATGTAATGCGCACGAAAAGATTTATTGAAAATTCAGTCAAAAGATGTTAAATTAGAAACCATGCGCCAATAATTCAACATTCTAATGCATTAAAAACTCTCTGGCTTAAAAAATGAAGAAGAAGCTAGCTTAACGAAGCTTTTAACGTCTTCAAGACATAATTAAAAATGATAGTTTTCATTAGTGAATCTCCAAGTGTCTTGTGTACATACTTATAGTCGCAATACGTGTTTGATAAACAAATTAGTATAGAAAGCAAGCGTAAACGTGCTCGCATATGTTAAAAAATAGACGATAGAATATCGTGACTAGAACGTTGACAAGCGCTCGAAGCCTTTCACATTTACAGTGTATTCAACTAATCGTTCTGATGCAAAAAGATGTGCAAAGAAATCGGTGCCGCGAAATTCGTATCCAATATCGGAAAAAGCGTCGATTCACATAGAGGCGGTCGGACAGAAATTTAGTCACGTTTATTCGAAAAATACAGATATCTGCCATTCATGTTTGTAGTTATATCAATACAAACGTAACGTCACACATACGTGTATACGCGTATTCTATATATGTATATGTATATGCGTGTACCCACGCGCGGAGTTCCATTCGCGTGATTCCTCTGTAAATCTATCGCGTACCTCTCGACTAAATTGATGACACTGTTTGGGTAAAACTGGAACGAGCAACATCGGTGATACAGTTTTTACGATCATCGTTCGGACTTGAAAACAAACATAAATACGATGTCCCAAGACAAACAGCGTTTACTGATTAAAAGAAAATAAAAGATCCGAGAATCCAAAATCCATATTGCTTTATTTATCTAAACGATATAAATGTTTTTGAAGTTTTATTGAATAATAAAACGCGAGATGGAATTTGATTTCGATGGAACTCGGCGCGCGGACGGCGCGACATCGACTACTTACGTATAATAATTTGAAAGAATAACATTACCTAGTGCGTGCATGTGTTCGGAGAGCTTACCATAGAAGTGACCGAACGGCCCTGCGTGAGAGCATGCGGTGAAGGATCGATATGGTTAGAAAACACATAGCGCATACGTAATAGAAAGAACACGCAAAAATATATATATATATATATTCTAATTCGTATATGTATATTCGGTGTAATCGAAAACGTAATGACGGCCACGGGTGGTACGTGATAGTGACAACGAAATATGATTGTGATAGACAGCGAACGAGTGAGTATGCTCGATGGGCTGAGATGCTGGTGACAAATACGATGTGTGAGAATTAATAGCGTGATCGACAGCTATCGATGAATTTTCAGATCGTTCTTATTGTCTGCTTCCTTTCAGATATTTTCATTATTTCGCGATCGAAGACAAGAGATTCAATTACCATTATTCATTTTGTATTCCCTTTACCGTAAGAGTTTTCTCTAATCTGTACTTTTAACAGCAATTGCAAGTTTACTGTGGATTATCTACTACTTCGGTGCACGGTGTGTGAAATCATTTTTTTTTTTTTCGATAATAAATGAGTATCTGAATAATTTTACCTGCGGGTTCTGTGGCTGTCGACAAAATGATATGATATTCAAAAGCTCCTTCCTCGTTACGGGCTTCCAGGATATATTCCTTTTCAGTGTCGGATTTCTGAACGCTGTCGATCGTTAAAATTACGCTCCATGCTCCCTTCCCCTGTAACAAAGAGATTTATCTACTTGCTTCATCGATACTTTTTTTAAATGAAACATCCTACTTTAATTTTCCTCTAACAACTGCTGCGATGTAAAAATAACTATTTGCTATGAGGAGATAGTTGCCGTATAAATGGTTTACGCAGCAGAAAAATAGAGGATAAAAGAAACCATCCATGTACGTTCTGGATCGAACGATGTGCTCGTTTTGCTACAAAGAAAATGCGACTCTTGTTGCTCGTTACCAGCGGAAACTGATTCACCGTTCACCGACCTATTCGATTAGCAGTTTTCAATCATTTCAGGGATTAGTCGTATTACAGTTGGCAAACTCCGACTAAATCCCTTCATTGACGTTTCCACAGTATCAGTTTTTTGGCAATGTGCAATTTTCAAACTGTACACTTTTGTTTGCTTTCAAAGTTCAACTTTTTATGAGAAAAAACAGGAGCCCAAGCTTTTGTTATTCCATGATAATTTGTATAAATAACATCTATAAATTACTATTTTGTAAAATATTTTTCTGATGATTTATTTCAATTATTTTATCAAAACTTAAGG